TTTAAAATACAAATAATATTTTTTAATGTATCTTTTGTTGGTACATGTAGGTATGTGATGCCATGGGCGTCACATGTGCGACATTTCCTTTTTAATCTAATTAATATTTTTTTCTAAAAATATTTTGTATTAATTCGTGTTTATCTTTAAAATGTGTTTTAGAGATAGAAAATCATTTTTTCAATGGATAATGGATAATTCCTCATCTTTCGGGTATTAATGGTCATTTGTTATATATTTCAAAAAAAAAAACCGAATATTAGATAACAACCTCCTCCCATCTCTCTATAAATCAGAGTTTCATTACATGAAGAGACCAAAAAAAAATATATTATCAATCGTTGTAAAAAATCTCTGACTCTCGCAATTTACAATCCAACTATGTTCCATTCCAATACCTAGGACATTTAATTGCAGGTTTCGTCTACTCTCTCTTTTAAATTTCAACATCTTTAACACTATTCATTTTAAATTTTTGTGGGTTCCTCATCCGTTTCTTTTAGCTAGATGTTGAATGAGCGACGGGACATTCAGGTGGAATTGCGTCCCCTGACACATGAAATAACACATGAAATAATCTTCCAATAGTTTTTTGCAATATGTGTATTTTTTTTTTAATACTATTAGGAGTAATCTTTTTTTTTGAAAAAAACCTAGTTTATTGACGAGTAGTACACTTCTCTTTGTAAAAAACTACTATAAGCTGCAAGGTGGAATAGTTGAGGTTGGAAGGCTCAGATTTAACCTGGCTGATCTAGATGGCTGATACTAACAATTTTTGTTTTATTTGGAATCTAATGGACTTGAAATTAAGACAAATTAGGTGTTCCAAATAAAAATAAAATAAAATACACCAAAAAAATTGCCTTGGTTGTTCCGACCAGGTGGCTCAAAAAATCTATATTCCACTCTTTTATATTTAAAATGGTGTGGAGAAATTTGTCTTTGACTAAAAAGGCAAGGGGGTATCTTCCCTATAACATAGTCACTTGATATGCATATCATTTATAAAGAGCTTTTGCCCAAATCTTATTGTCTCAAATAATCGAAAAGAATTCTATTATATTCCAAGTTTCCAACCATATAACTTTAAATTTAAGGCAATGCAGGCAAAGGGGTCGCAAATTTAATTATTTTTTGACATGTGAACAATTTTATTAATGAAAGAAAATTACAATACACGAGTTACAATCATCAGAGACCAATAGAGACCGCAGGGAGACACCCCTTCTCTCAAAAGCATAACATTTGCTTCCCTACACATAAGATGAATTGAAATACAATACTCAACGACTCCGTCAAATCTAGAACTTCAAACTGTACTTATTTAAGTTCCCAATGCACTTTTTGCTCCTTATTGCACCATCTAATCACATTCATCAAATTATTTTCCACCGAGCAAAAATCCGGCAAAAGACCCCTGATTTTTGCCTATAAAAAGCTTTAAGCTTTGGGGAGGAGCTGAAAATTCAGTATGGTTAGCAATAACAAGTCCAATGGGGCCAATAAAGATAAAAAATAACAACCCCATTCCAATCTCTAACTGCTCCCATAATACTAGCCTCACCCGATTATCAAATTAACTCCCATGAAAATTGAGCTTAAAACAGCCTTGCATTAGAGGTTCCAATCTACTTTTCAGCCGACTTTTAAAAACATCTAATCGGAACAAATTTGAAAGATTAAGCATAAGATCCACTTCCAAAATACCCCAACCATCCTTACTAACTACCAACCAACACAACGAATGATTGGTGTTGTTGAGAACTCTATCAAAAGATAAAGCGAACCCATTAAAAGTTCTCCTATTACGTAGGGTCCTGAATATTATTTCAACCAATTTTTTGTCGTTCTATACGTGTGTAGTAGTTATAACCCTTAATTTCAACTCCACAATCATTAATACCTAGCCTACTATGATTTATCACGATGGGTTCATATACCTACTTTGCTATAAGCAGATAAAATAGACAAAAATTTGTCCACCTTTCTTTGCTTTTCTAACATTTAATAAATATATGCACTAATTTTAAAAAATGGAGGGAGCTAGGACAGCCAGGTCGACCTGGACGTAGACCCCACCCAACTACATTTAGGTTAGACTCAAACCTGGGTCAAGTCCAAGTGAATTGGACTTGGACCCAACCCATCATGTTGGTTGGGTCCAAATCTAGAAATACAAAAATATAAAAGATAATATTATGTTATTTTATAGTAGATATTCATTATATATTTATATATGCCTTACACATATGGGGATTGGTTAGATATGGAGGACACATGGCTTCACTGGAGATACGACCATTAAAAGAGCAGAATGACACCTTAGGGTCCATTGTCTGATGAGTTCAACCCAGATGTGGTCAAGTTGACCTGTGGGGTCCACAAGTCGACCCGGCCCGTTTCTCATTCCTAAAGGGAGCTATGGAGATGCCAAGGGCTAGATATGAGGGTGTACTTTCATCCCCCATAGCTTACTAGAGAGCCAACTCCTATCAATCAGAATGTGATGTAGGCAGAGGTAGTTATTGTGATGGGTGCAACGTTGTCTATAGTTACTCTCATCAAATTCCAAGTTAATATTCAAAATAAAAACAATCATATTGACTTTTAGTTTTTTTTCAGACGGCTTTCGGGTTGTATGTAATTGTCAGCTCCATTTGATTGTAACGGACTCGAAAACAATTTTTTCAGATTGACTCGACTGATTTGTGAGTCACTTTCCAGCTAATGTTTAACCGAAAAAGAACATAAATGCTTAAAAATGGGGAGAATAAGGTGATTATAGAGTTTCCCAAACCAAAATCGCCCGACTCCCAATCCTTGCAGGCGATTTCGAGACAGCTTGGTGATTTTTAAACCACTGCTGTTATGTGTTGGCTAATTTATACTATACATGATAGTATTTTTGCTTTGGAAAAATAATGTCATTTTAAGCCATAGTCTTATAAATTGTCTTCTCGTAAAGAGAGTAGTGGGTTTTTAGTCTGCTTTGAGAAGGGATGAGAAATTCATGATTTAATGTGGGCATACCCTCTTCCGTTTGCTTTTGCAACGGATGGGAGACATGACTCATGTGGAGTGGGCAAAACGTGTGACGGACACAATTGCGAGTGCGAGTGCGAGTGCGATGGCACAAGGCACGTAAGGCGTACCAACTCACATCGGCAGGTATAGAGGGGCCTCCCGGTGGAGCTCGCGACTCAACTCGCTTTCTTTTTATTGAGTCATGCCGTTTAACTTCAAGTCTTCGGACCAAGACGCCCCCGACCGGATGTTATGTTGCCTTAGCCGACATGATGTTTTGCGACTAGTGCATTGCATTGCATTGCATTGCATCAACCATAACCATACATCGGGTCGGGTCGGGTCATAGACATTGCACATGTGACGCTTGTATGTGATGGTTCATTTTGACTATTGGCAAATCAATTATATAAGTGAAAGGGTTTATATAAGTTTGTAGGTGCACTTAAAAAATCCATGCTGTTTTAAAGTTGAAAAACCCTCTAAATTATCATCTTTATGTTGAGATGTATAAATATTAAAAAAAAAAAAAAGATTTCAAGTCCTAAAAATAATGCATATTACAATATATTATTTGGACCATTCATTAACAAGATTTTCATCTGCTTATGGATCTACTTGATCTGAATTATTTTTGGAGTCTAAAATTTTATAATTAGAAATGAAAATAGGTTCTCAGGCTATCCAAGAATTTTTTACACCAAAATTACATCTTATAATAAAATTTGGTAGTGCACCTTAGAAAGCCAACTCTAGTGCTCTATGATCTCGTTTTTCTATTGCATTGAATTGGCGAGACAAGTGCTAGGTCTCTTGGACAAATCAACCTAGAGAACCTTAAGCACACTAATTATATCATTAGGAGGTAAATATTTTCTCAAATAGTGCATTGACATGCTTGAAAACATAAAGATCTCTTTCAATCGTTTGCTAATCTTCTCCAGACTCTGATTTTACATTGCCCCTTTGCACCCACACCCACATGTTTTTAACAATGCACACGAAACATATTTACATGTACATTCAATGTTACAGGACTTCGCCGAGTCTCAACCAAGGTTCTCAGCCTTGCCCTAAGGGCGAGGGCGAATTGCCCTAAGTTGTACGAGTACATAAAAAGACTTGAAAATATCAAAAAAAAGTAAAAGATATGGGAACTTTTGAAATTTTCTTGCATATAATTTTGATGCTTTTGGCTAATATTGGTGAGTGTCTTTTGCCATAATCTATATTTTTATATTTTCTTTTTATTTGATTTTTTAAATGTCACCAGCTATAAATCAAATTTTAATCCATTTTTCTATACTTTTCTAGAAGTTTATTTGGACTTTTAGAGGTTCCTTTTAGTTTTATTTTACTTTTACAATCTTTATTTTATTTTTTATTTAAAAAAAAAAAACCTCTAGCGCTTTTAGCCTTGTAATGACTCCTAGGAAACCACTTAAACTCGCCCCAATAACTCACCTCAAGCCATGGCCAACTGCAAGTACAAAGTGCACCACCATCAAGCACCCTTGCACCCACCTTTTGCTCCGCGCATCCACCATCATTCTCACTTTTGTTATAAGAGTGTAAGGCATGATAATGTCTACAATTAAATACCACTCAACTCACACTCTCCTCCTTCTGTTTGGGATTAAAAACCCATACCTTTCTCTCTACAAAACACAACTTCGATGAACAACACAAAACCCTGGTGTTACTTTGACATACACAACTATTTCTCAAAACCAAAAATACGAACATTTTCCTTCACTATTTCAAAATAACAAGAAAATACATTACATATCATGAATGCATCTTTCGATTTGAACATTCACTTAGAGTGTACACTATAATTTGACGAAGTGCCAGTATTAATTTAACTATGATTATCTTTACATTTTATGTAATAATAATACCAAGAGCATTTCATATGAGAGAAACTTATAAGTGCATAACAAGTAAATTTACACACAATTACCATAGAATCCTCACCTCAAAAGTCGGGCTTGCGCTTGAGTGCTTAGTTATTGAATTAGCAGCAGTACATCTCAAGTTCGATTCTTGCAACTGACCCATCAAAAATAAATAAAAAATCCACTCTCTTGATTCTAAGTACATAGGAAGAGTCATGGAAATATCCAGCATGACCCACATTATACAACAGTAAAAATGCAACAGTTTGGGGTCCATGAGATAACATTTGATAGCTGCAGCTATGTTGCTCGGGGTGCAAAACAGGTCGGGTCGGCTGAACCATGATCCAGGTTTGGACCTAACAAGAGGACCAAGCGAATGAGATGTGGTTCCAATGGACCTAGACCAGACTAGGTTCAGAACTGGTCTAGCCCAGGCCTACCAAGGTTGGGAATACAGATATATGCTATATTCAACCCAAACCCAAACCCAACCCAGGTCAGGTCCAGTTTGCAAGTATGACAGTCCTGGACCCTGCTAGCTATGAGTTTGACCTAAACCTTGTCTGGTCAGGTCGACCGGACCTTGATCGGACCCTTTTGTAGCCCTATCCATATTATAGGAAAAGTTTGTTACAACACCGGGACACTTCAATGACCTTCCTTAGCACTGACTTCCCGAGGACTTAACCAGTGGATGCTAAAATAGAACTTTAAAGATACTGCTGAAAGGCAATAATTTTTAAATTTTATTGCCGATGGATTAATTCTTCAACTGTGTTCTTGTGTTGCGAATTCATGCTTGAAAGGTTAACCAGAAAGCCTGCACCATCAACAAAATCCCCAAAGTCTTCTTCCACAAATGAAATTTTCCATGTTAAATGCATTTTCTTGTTCAGGGGGTAAAGGGGTAGCACATACATAATTGCTTTCATAGTTAACTTGATAATACACTGTTGCCAAGATTGGACAGGCAACCAGACCAGTGAGGTCCAATTAAAGTCGGTAAGACCGCCGGTGAAAACTGTTAGACCAATTTAAAAAGAATGAAGAAAAATAGTGATAATAGTTTAAAATTATGAACTACATTAAAAGATTTGCCCAACTTTATTTAACAACCAATCTAACCAATCAACATCAATCCGATCAGATAAAACTGGTCCCATATTTTGCTTGTGACCGGTTTTCGGCCAAACCCAATTTTTTCTTGAGATCACCCTAGTCAAGGCATTACTCTATAGTCCGACAAGTTGGGGACTATCTAGCCCAGTCAGGTCTTTATAACTATGGAAAATGGTTTACAAATGTTCAAAAAAAACATGAGCAAGAATAAAAAAAAGAAAAGAGAGTATTTGGTTGCTATTTCCTCTACATTCCTTATATTACTCCAACAACATCATGATCATCAAAACCTCCATTTAAATGTCGAAGAACTCCAATCCAAACCTCAAATATATATCCAAAATAGACATTTATGGATGATTCGCATCAAAGCATGGACAAACATCCAGGAATTACAAAAAGTTTGGTCAAACACCTTACAGCTACATAAGAGCATAAATATTCATTGCATTTTTACTGAGGAACTACAACCACATATATATCAACGAGTAATGAGCATCCAAGATTTTAATTGCTGACATTATTATCATCATCATCATCATCCAAGCCTTATCCCAATTAATTGGGGCCGGCTACATGAATCATGTTCCTCCATTCTAATAGTTGACATCAAAGGGAGAAAATCCAGAGAGACAAAGCATGCGAATAAAAGAAGTGGAAACATTACGTGTTTCTATTGGGTAAAACCTCATATAGGAGTAATTTTTAGAACCGAAAAATTAAGAGATATGACATATGCAACTTAGCAACCAATTAGTAAAAAGGAGCTTCCAAAAAAACAATCAATATACACTGCTAGTACAGGAGCAAAATCATACCCTAAGATCACATGCAAACCATTCGAGTTTTGGATGGTTTGGTCTAGAGGTTTAGGTACTTTGAATCCAATTGTTTTTCTAAAAATACTAATATGGTGAATCTAAAACAGATCCCAAAACTTTCGGTCAAAAATTTCTCCCAAGTAGGTCATTTGCCACAGGGATTAGATGTAAATTTTGCTCCACAGTAGCAAAGTACAAATGCTAATAAAATAATCTATGCATTCATAGACACGAAGTTACAGGGATCCATCTTATCTAAAGGGTCAATTGCCAATAGCTAGAAGTAAAGGAGGTTTAAACTCCAATGATTCACTTACCCGAATATCTTCATCTGAGGATAAGCAATTGAAGGCCGGGCATATCACCCATAAATAGGCATAACATCCATCACATGCATTTGGCTGGGTGTGCTTAGAATCCAATTCCCAACTTGAAAATGAAGGTCGAGATAGAGCTGTAAACCATTAGGGATTCGCTCAGAGCGGAACCTTCACCAATTTTTTCATATGGAATACGAATGAAATCCATCAGCAATTTCCGAAACCTTGCACCATATCAACAGCTTTAAGAAGCCACAATTTTTTAGAGCGAATCTACTACTCTCCACCCATAATCAGCTTGTCAAACATCTGTTCTGTCATTGGCTGCATCTTCGAAGGCAAGAACGAGGCTATCTGCAAGGCTTGTCTCCGAATTAAACTCATCTTTAATATCTGAAATCCTTGCTTTCTTACTGATTGATTTTGGGAGCCATGATCTTAGAGAATCAGGCGTGCCACTTTTGTTTGAATCAGAAACCACTGATCTGTCTCCAGCTATACCTAGCCTTTTTGTTACAGCTATCAGTGAACTCCATGGATCTTCCACCATGGATTTGTTATAGAACCGCTCTGGATGCTCCTTGGCTGAAACATCTAAATGGTAACCTCTTCCTCTCCCACCACCACGCCCTGAACTATGGCCAGGGCTCCAACTAAAGTGACGACCCCTTCCCATGCCTGAACTAAAGTTAGGGCTACTTCCTCTTCCATAATTAGGGCTAGGGCTACTTCCCCTTCCATAACTAGGGCTAGGGCTACTTCCCCTTCCATAATTAGGGTGGGGGCTACTTCTGCTTCCATAGTTAGAACTAGGGCTACTTCCCCTCCCAAAATTTGGGTTAGGGCTACTTCCCCTTCCAAAATTAGGGGTGCGAATACCTCCATGAAAGTTGGGGGGAGAGGTATGAACAGGTCGTGCATTATTGTTAGTCCATGAACCAGGAATTGGGCTTCCATGAGAGAAAGGGCTGCCGGTCATCATAGGGCCTCCCCAAGACCCAGACCTATGAGGTGGTGTTTCATATTGTCTCTGATCGTTGTAACTTATCTGCATCGGATAGGCAGTGGCGTGGGTCATGGCTGCATTACTTTGTCCTAATACAAATCGATAAATGATGACTGTATTAGTGTTCCATTTGAGTTCAAAGCAACCAAGCAACTTATAGTAAGAATCTTACCCAGGACTAATTCTAAATCTCTGTCTCTCACACACACACACACAGCACCAACAACAGTGACAACAAGGTAAAGGAATAAACAGACAAAAATTAAGATACATGGTTCTTGAAGAAGTAGTACACATTAGAAAAGAATTAGCAAAGAATTTCCATAAGTGCAAAAGCATCACACTTCCTAGAAGGGAATATCTGAAACAATGGCCCACACAACAATTTTAATCGACACTTAACTCTATGACAATAAATTTTAATTATTCAAGATGATTTAGTTTAACCTCAAAGTGGAGTTGAGCTGTTCATGAAAAAAAAAAAATTTATTCCTGAATCATAAACAATTTATCCCCACTTTTTTTTTTTTGAAAAGCAATTTATCCCCACCAATTTATATTGCAGTTAGTAAATAAACCAGTTTCCTAATCAACTTCTAGTTTATTCCTGAATCATAAACAATTTATCGCCACCTTTTTTTTTGAAAAGCAATTTATTCCCAACAATTTATATTGCAGTTAGTAAATAAACCAGTTTCATAATCACCTTCTAGTTCATAAAACAGAGAGTACAGAAGAACAATTGCAATAGAAAATCCCATTCATACACCCAACAACAATGGATAGGCAACATCAGCAGCTCTAATGGCCAAGTCCTTCTCACGTTACAGACCCCAGCCTAACTGATGTGGTTAGGGTTTACCATTTTTATGTCATAAGGGTTCACCATTTTTATGTCATTAGGGTTCATTTCGGTAGGAATCAGTAGGGTTACTACGATATTCAATTTTATATAAATTTTTTAGGTATTTAAGTCAATTAGTTCTGTAGAAATTTTAAGGTGAATTATGTCTTTTATTATTTTAGCGATTTTTAGGTCTTTTTTCTTTATTATGAACTATTGTAAAGAATGGAGAACCATAGGAAAGCAAGGTAAGACAAAGAAGTGATTTTCTAGAGATATTCTCAAGGTTGACTCCTCGCAGACCTAGAGAGAGGGGCCAAATATCATTTGGGGTGAACTCCCCTACAGACTTATAGAGAGGGTAAATTGCCTCAATCTCCAAATTTTCCCCTTTTTTTTTGTGCCTTCTTCTTACATTATTAGCCACAAAATAATAAATAAAAAAAGCAACCCCCCTTGGCCTAGTGCTAAAGGAGTTTCTGTTAGATTTAAGCTTCAATATCCTCATTCAAGAAACACACTAACTCCTCCTTTGGACTATAGCAAGGGCTTCACAACTAACAATCATTCTACAATACTGGGTCTGAAAAGCTTCAACCATTCTTGGGGCTCACACCTGATAGTGGAAGGAGATTCACAAAATATTCTCTCCTGGGCAAGTGGGACGACTTCTCCACCATGGCACCTAACCTCAATTTTTGATGAAATTGCTCACATTTGCAGGGATATGGATGTCTCCTGGAAGCATATTTGGAGAACGTCCAACGAGTTCGCAGATCTCATGGCAAAAGAGGGAGAAAGAGGGAGCTAGAATCCAAGTAGAAGACCACGCCCGGTCCGACTCCTTTTTCGTTCTGGACCACAGGCACACAACATAGACACTGTGTATTTGGGCATCTTTCAGCCCTGGTTTATTTTTTGGGTTAAATCCTTGTAATCAGGCAGGTCCTATAAGCCCATTTTTTGTACCTGGCAGGTTGACACAATTTTTTACTGAGAGACATTCCATGTGGGTGCTCTCAGACTCTCAAATCTATGTAATTATCACTTCTCAGTAATACAATGTTAACTTTCTCAAAAAAAAAAAAATCATTTTACATTAATGCATCAAAATTTTCCACTTTTAACTCATGAGAATGCCTCTCTAGTAAGTGATAAGTGCCCGTCAGATAGCATGCATCCTAATCTGCTTGTACACAGTTTCCCTTACATCCCTCACCTTTCCAGAGAATCCATTGTCTCTCTCACTCCACAGCCCCTGAATGACCACCCACAAGGAGCAGTTACAGACAAAGCCAATCTATAACACCAACCAGAGAACAAGGAAACATCCAAATGGTACAAAAGAAGCAAAGAACTCATTCAAAATATCCCTCTAAAATTTGATAATGGAAAAGATGCCACACCCACTTGTCTGCCTTCCTGGACATATACAAATATATGGAAGCTGAAGGCCCTTGTTTAAGACACAGTAAGCCTCAGGATCCTTAATAGTAGTGATCGTTCTAAAACTGCCATCTATGGGGTGAACAAACCTGCCCCACCAACTTCACTGGAAAATTGCCAATGCCCAAACCTCACAGGATCAATGCTCGGGCTCGGGCTCGACCGAGCCGAATAACTCGGGTGAGTCTGAGTGGACTCGCCTGAGTCATGGACGAGCCCAAAAAGGGCTCAAAATTGCCAACAAAAAAATATTTGTTAAAAATAATTAAAACCAGTTAAAAAAACAGAAGGAATTTTAAAAAACAGTAAAAGTCTACAAACGAATATAGAAGATGGGTAATGGAAAAGATTCATTTATATCTTGAAAGAACTCAGAAAAGTCCCAAAAAGAAAGGAAAAATAGAAAATGTGAGCATATACTATAAGAAATTCACAAATCATCATAAAAACATAAAACTACATAGAAACATATTTATGCATCACTTATTAGTGATTTAGTAACGAAATTTCAAATTTTTTAAGAGCTTTTAATAAACACAAGTTTGTCAATAGAACTCACCGCAGCAAGGTAACGAGGCCAAGTTATTCACACGAGTCCAAGTTAACTCGGGTTCTAGAACGCTGCAAAAGACACTACAACATTTGCAAAGTTTACCCTTTTGAAACACACGTGGTACATACGTGGTTTCCCAAAATTCCCAAAATACTAAAACCTAAACAGCTTAGAAATTGTGGTTCCAAAATTCATTCATGTCCAATAGATCAACTGAAAACCCTTATCATTAGTTTAAAAAAACAAAATCCAATCCTATTGAGTTCCCTGATACCAAACCCAATACCCATAGAATTTGCTTACCCATCCTGCATATTGCCTGTCATGGCCCAAGTCCTATAAGCTCTTTACAACACTCTTCAACCCCCTCATTCACTCCATACTTACCCACAGTCAACTCCTTTCCAAAGATGTTACTTTTATGAATATCTATTGTCACAATAAGAACCTAACTCCCTTAAATTCCTAATGCAAAAAGATATAGTACGTACTACATACATCATCCATGCCTCCCACATCATTGAATGTATATCAACCTTCTCAACCACTTCCTAAAAAGTCTCATCGTATCCTCTCAAACATCTCCAGAGACATTGGCATCTGAAGAAAGAAAATCGTGGATGAACAAGGTCGCTTTAAAACGAGCAATATTCCTCTCATGTAAGGTATTGCAGTTTCAAAGGGACTGATACAATTCCAATTTCGCGACTACCTGACTCTAAGGCCTTCTATGTACTAGCATAGGAACCAACACAACACCACAATCAACTTGGGATAGTGTAAGTCCCACCAACTCGACACTTGTTCACACCTTTGTCAAACATTTAATTATTCAGCAATGACTAATGGGTGACATTTCCTCCCAAATTAATAAATGACGGAATGGTGTTGTGCGAGGTTTTTTAAACAGCACTGACAACCAGGGAAAGTTATTGTTACAATGGCAGTTAGAATGGGTGTAGTGACTGTTACTATCCCCTGCCACTTGCGATATTGATGGAACAGACAATGTACAATAGCCTTATAATGGATGTTATACTCACAAAAATCACGAATTTTAAGACCTTGTTTTTGGGTTTCCACCAATGTGGGAAAGATTTGAATGAGTTTCTTCAAAAACCCCATAGGGCAGGTTATAAATAACAAAAATAGGTTAAAATTCACCCTATGAATTGGTACAGAACCCATATCTGTGCTATATAAGTCATTTGTTTTGGGCAAGCTAACTACTTTTTCTAATTATTATTAAAACAGATAAAACTAACCACTTTTCTTTATTGGGTCATTTATGTGGCAGAGCTCCTAGTTCTTGTCCATGAATCTTCTTTTTTTTACAGTAATTTATTATTTTGTTAATAACATTGTTTTTCACTTGTATTGTTGTCAGCCTGGTAATGCAAAAAGAATCACAGCAAAGTCCCCTTTCCAGTGAAAACATTACAGAAGTTTGGAACATTATTTCCGTTAGAGAGAGAGAGAGAGAGACAATAGTTTGCTTTAAAAATCAAACTTTCATAATACTAAAGAAAAACTCAAATTAAGGAAGGCACTCAAAAATTACAGGGAGTCAGCTTCAAAAATAAAATAAAGCAATTCAAATGAAGGGAAAATAACACAAGAATCATGAATGGTATTACCTGGAGTCGGCGCCATAGGAGACTGAGCAGAAAGACTGTGTTGATTTGAGTCGTTGTATCTTTCGCCTTTCCTATTCATCGAAGAGAAAGCTGACACTGGGTTAGTGTAGAAATCAAACCTCGAAGCTTGGGTTGAAGCACATAATGTGGCAGAGAGGTCGTTGAAGGGGTTCGAAAGTGAAGAAGAAGAAGAAGAAGAAGAGAAGGTTTGGGGTGGAAGATTTGGGGTTTGTTCAGCCTCCAAGCGCATGGCTTTCAGTCTTTCTCTCCTCTTCTCAGAGGACTCATCCATGATAAAACCCTAGTTAATACCAGATTCTAAAGTCCCAAAATTTAGAGAGAGATGGGAGTTCCAAGCCCTAAAGTCGAGCAGGACTCAGAACTTCAAAATCAGGGTTCATGGCTTGGGAGCCTATAGGGTTTGTGAGAGACAGATGGGTTTTTAAAACCCCAAAGTTAGGGATTGGGACTCCAAAAATTAGGGTCCTCAACATGAACTTAGGGCAAAACTCCAGAGTTGGGGGGGGGGGGGGGATTGGGACTCCAAAACTAGGGTCCCCAACATGAAATTAGGGCAACTGGAACTAAGATGGGGGACTTATCGTATGTTTTCGTTTTGGAAACGTTATATTATTACAAAAATACCTATAACTTTTCATTATTATCCTTATATTATTTGTTTTTCTATCTACACAATAAAAAATAAAAATAAAGCTCGATTTCGATTTTAAAAAAATTAAAAAATTAAACTGAATTCGATTTTTAAAAAACCAAAATATAAGGCTGTCCATTTACCTCCATTTCCCATGTTTCTCTCTCGTCTCAACAATTTTTTGAGCTCTCCTCTTTCTCCATTTTTGTGCTTCTCTCTCTCACCACTCTCACGAGATCTCATTTTAAAGATTGGATTGATTAGTTTCAATTATGCCACTCTTTCTAGAGGACCTGATGTAAATTTGGTTAAACAAGTGGTTTAACATGTAGTTTAAAGCATTAATACACGGATCCTCATTCTTTTTTTTCCTTTTTTTTTTAGTTGTTGTGGTTTAATTTTAAACCATCACGAAGAGATAGATGATGTTTCATTGAATTAACTATATCTTTTGGTATTGACTTACGATCCAAAAGTTCTCATGATCAAACCCAACCAATCTTCGAGCCCACATTCACATGGCATTATGAGTGGTGAAAAGTGTTCAAAATGGTCACGAATGCTATGTTAGAACACACCAATTTAACCAATCACAATCACCCATTACAATGGTTGGCTATTACGGTTGAACCTGGTTGAAATTGAGTTTTCGGATTTTCAAAAACCAAAATTTGAGATTTTTGGTTTTTAAAAAATCAAAAATTTAATATTTTCGATTTTTGAAAAACCAAAAATCATGGTTAATTTCCAGTAACTTATTGGAAATTGAAATGAGTTTTCTGTTTTTGAAAAACCGAAAATCATTGTTAATTCCCAATAACTCATCGAAATTGAAATTGAGTTTTTTGGCTTTTGAAAACCTAAAAACTTAAAAAAATTCGGTTTTGAAAAATCGAAAGCAGGCAATTAAGTGTTATGAAGTTGAAAAAATGGATATAGGTATTATAATAATGTAAACTTAAAAATTTTTATAATTACGGTAAATATAACTAATATATACGTAATTTTCCCTTTTTTTAAGGCCCAATTTTCTAATAGCACATCAAATATTTTACTAAAAATATTTATATAAGGTTGCAACTTTAAAAATGAAGAAGGGCATGGTTTATATAGGGCGGAGGCTCTAAACAATCAAAGTAAGGTGCACATTCAATTAGTGTCAAAATATGTTGTTTTAATAATGAAAATATTTGAGATAGCCTTAAATTTTCATCTCTAGTTATAAAATTTAAAATTTCAAAAGTAATGTAGATCGAGTAGATATATAAACATTAGACAATCTTGAAAATTGACGGTCCTAAAATGCATTACAAGATGCACTATTTCTAAGACTTGAAATCTATTTCTTCCCATGTTCATATATCTTAAGGTTTAGATGATCAATTTGATGATTTTTTAGCTTCAAAACAACATTTTTTACTACATTTTGAGGTGCGCCCATAATTGATTGTTTAGAGCAACACCCTTAAAGATAAATGGTCTCATTGTATACTATCTCTAAACTTTCCAATGAGTGAATTAAGGTGCACATAAAAATCCATTGGGAAAAGTTGTTTGGACATTGGGAAAAGTTGTTTGGACATTGAGAAACTATCTAATTAATCATCTCGATATCGAGATTATGAATATGAACAAAAAAAATATTTTGAGTCCCATGCATTTTGCAATAATTATCTAGACCATCCATTTTCAAAATTTTTATGTGTTTATAGATCTACTTGATTTTAACCAATTTTTTAAGTTTAAAATTTTATAACTAGTTATGATAATAAATATTTAGGCTATCCTACAAAAATTTAATACCAAAATTACATCTCATGATAAAAATGAGATGTGCGTCTTAATTTGATTGTTTAAAGTTGCTACCTTATACAAACCACACCCATTAAGTCATTTTATTATTTTACAGACACGGTTCTATGAGTCCATGTAGAAATGAGTCGCCTCTTAAAATTTTATTTTTGAGATTAATTTTTTACCAATACTTATTACCATTACATATATACAAGTATAAATATTTAATTTACATGAATAGATAAATTAATGGATTGGATTACCCAACCCAATCCAATTGGGTCTGGGCTGGGCCCAACCCGACCTCACTCTTGAGTCCATATTGCTGGACCCAAACTTAACCCTCAAGTCTAGAAAGTGGACCAGAACCCAAACTCAGATCGACCTGATCCATTGGGGTCATAGCCAGCACTGCCTCATTCGACAACCATATATCTTAGCAATTACAACCATAATTTTTTTGTCATTTATTTTATAGTAATTTGTGCAAATATCATTTGTTTTTTAATTATTTTTTAAAAGTATCTCCAATATTTTATAGCTTTCGTTTATGTCCATTTTTTTGAGAGCAATCTAGTATTTGGCTTTTATCTGTTAGTTTACATGTTGGATTGAGCTTAAATTTTATATATCCATACTTTTACTTTCTTTAAATTTTATACATCCATAAATTTAAAGCAAAATACCCAAAAAATTGCACACATATTTTGGTAACTTGATTTTTATTTAATTTTATTTATATTTTCGGACCAGAACCCAATTGACTGGCCGGTTTTGGCCTGATAGTGTGGTCAAACCAGAAACTTAATTTTCTTTTTTAAATTTAGAGATAAGAATTTTGTTTGGAGTAGGTTTTTAAGTGTTTTCTATTGTTTTGGAAAAGATTGGAAAATATTTTTGCTATAAATACTTATTTTGATATAAATTGATTTTTTTAAATCTATTTTTTACTTATTTTTTAATCTCATTTGGATGCATTTTGTTTACTTAAATGTAGTTTTCATACTTTTTGGATTTTTTTATTTTTTTAAATCTTTTTAACCTGGCAGGGACCTGCCTGATTAGGGTTGGCCGGGTTCCGTTCCCGGGTCGTTTTGTCTAACACTGGGCAATAGTAAAGAAATATGGATCACATTGAAATACTTGAAATGCTTTTAAAATTGTAAAATATAAAATATTATTAAAAATAAATTTGAAACTTGAAAAATATGTAAGAGATATTCGTAAATTTCGCAAGATCACGAAAATAACCATAAAGAAATTTCGTTTAATTTCACCGCTGCGAAACCAGTTGTGTGCGTCGCAAAACGAATTATCGGGGAAACGAATGAGGTTACGAGAGCCTACTCAAATCATATAAATATATTTTCTCTCTCTCTCACCTTATATTCCCATTTCGGGAAAGCAACGCTAGAGAGAGAGGAGCGAGAGCGGAGTTCTCCCCTGTTGGAAAAATGTTAAACGGCAATGGTTTTGCAGGTTTCTCTCTCTAAACTCTCTCTCTCTGGTTTCTCTTTCTAAACTCTCCCTCTCTGGTTTCTCTCTCTATTTTTCTGCCCCTACTCTCTCTCTCTCTCTCAGTGTCGTTTCATCTCTGAATTCCCTCTCTCTCTATCTATTGTTCTATATTTCCTTCTTGTTACTTCCCCTCCATCTCTCTCTTCCTCTCTCTTTCTCCCTTGTTATTCGTTTTTCAGCAATATTTGTGCTTTTTTTAATTTCCTTTTATATTTAGGATCATTATGCTTTACACGATATGCAACAGTCTGTTTCTTCGATATGTTTATCAGTGATCAGATGATTTATTCTACTTGTTTGACTGCTTAAGCTCATGCCTTTGTGCATCATAATCTTAGTGTGTCTCTGTCGCTCTCTTTATCGGTATCTTTCCTGTATATGCTGTGTTTGTGGTCATGGGTTGTGATTTTTAGGTTTTCAAAGGAATGTATTAGACGAGGAAACTAGAAAAATCGGGAGTTTTTTTTTTTTGCAAAGTTTGCTCACCTAATTAGCTGGAAGTTTAGAAAATCCATAATTAAGAGGACTGATAGCACAGAATGCAATTTAGTGGGATATCTGGTTTTTGTTTAAGGTTAGGTGTGTAGATTAAATGTGTTTTTGTTTAAGGCTAGGTGTAGATTAAAGGAGAGAGTCATAGAGATTCTAAAATGATATCATGATATAATGCATTTTAGAATTGAATAGAAGGTTGGCAGTAATGTAATGCAGCCACTGATCATTATAAAACAAAATGCAGTCTATTCTAGATTGAGTATATCATATAGAAGTTGCAGATTAGTGAACCACAGCTCATAGCACATTGGTGGTTGACATTTGTTCGTAATGCTCGGTGATTGTTTATGTATAGGATTAATGCTTCGGAGAAACAGCAGAAATGTCGTTGTTTTCTAGATAAACAAGCAAACAATAGTTGCCTTGTGAACAAATTTATGGTACTTTATTTTGCCAGAGAATTGGGTTGTGATTATTTTTATCCTTATTTTCTACTTTTCACATGAATAGCACAAGAGTAAAAAAAAAAACGAAAAGAAAAAGTACATTCCGCTCTGTTATCATTCATTTTGGTGATGTATATGTAGGATTAATTGTCTGTCATTTGAGTCTCAATTTGAACACTAGATGCTCCCACACACTCCCAAAGAAAAAAGAAGAAAGGAAAGAGTTTATTATTAATGGTTAAAAAAGTGCTATAGAGTGAGAAAGACTGTCTGAAGGAGGTGCTTTCCATTTTTCTTTTGGTCAATATTTTCAATGACTTCTTGTGGCCATTTTTTTCTTGTACCATTTGGTAGCATTCATTTTGGAGCCACCAAAGAGGGCTCACTGGAATTTCATGGATTTATATGGATTGTTGAGGAAGGCCTTTGATCAGGTGTTCATTCTTTGTGCCATCAATAGAGAACCAGCTGGGTTTAAACTTTTACAACAAAAGCACCTATAATACATTTCAGGTTTGCTTTTATTTAAGGGATTATATAGTATGATACCATTTATCTTTGTTACAAGGAGGTCACAATTACTCCTAGCCATTAGATGCTGAATTGGATGGCTTTGGCTGTACTATGAAGTTCGAGAGAGTTTGTTTTGAACTTCGAGTCTAGTCAATGACACACTCACAACCTCCCAATTTGAAATATGACAGACAAGTGTGACTGTGACCTCCTTGTACTAAAAGTAAATGGTCTCTTTCTATACTTTTCTTTTATTTAATTATTCCCTAATTATTATATAAAAAAGGGGATTTGCTAAGTAGTGACTGTTTGTTTTATAAATAGTGAACTGGTAATAGATTTGACTCCCATTGTTAGTGTGTTCTAGAAGTAGGTGTAATGTTAGCAACTATGTGTAGTTTCCTGACATGTAGTGTTATTTAGTGCTCGATGCACCCATGAAGCATTAAATCCACCTCTTGTATCTACACTGTCATGCTCTCATGTGTTTGTTTGTTTGTTTGTTTGTGTAGTATATGTGTGTGTACTTGCATATATCCACACATAGACATTATATGGATCGTCTAGTGTGTATGTTAATGTTGAAAGTGTTGATATTTCACTCCGTTCACCAAATAAAAAAAGAGGTTTAAAAGTTGATTCCATACTTGGACCTGCAAATTGAATGAGATAGGAATAATAGTGCAATGTAGACTCTCCATCTCCCCTCTACACGTGTTGACACTTAGACACATGTCGACACACTTGTACTCGTGTTCAACACGTTAGCTATACGTGTCGGGTGGGATTGTTGAAATTCAGTACGTATCATCACTTTATATAAAAGCGCCGTCAATTTTTGACAACTGAAGGCTCGTGGCCTGTAAGTAGACTGGACACTTTTAGTACAGGAGAACCCCATTCCATTCCTATGATGTTCTTTTGGAAGTGGGCTTTTAAAATACCATGATGTTATTTTTCTAAGGTGGGCTTTTAAAATAGCGTCTCATGAAGCAAAGATACTTGTTTGATGTTAGCAAATAGTAATTATAATAGTAGCTTTATTTGATAATAAGACACCTTATTTGAAGACAACAATTGTTTGTGAAAGGAAATGTCAATTTGTTTTTTAATTTTAGAAAGTTTTATAGATTTTGAAATGTTTGGTGGCATTTGAGCTTGGTTCACTATAGGAAAATAATAGTTCTACTAACACAATTATAAAAAATATTGACAATATTAATAAAAACAAGTATGTCTATATCCTTTTTTGCATAGACCAAAGTACTAGACACTCAAGACATGTACTAGACATGACACCTGTGTCCGTGTCCATGTACACTGCTGCTTATGCTCTGTTTGGTTAAATCTTGGCCGAATATGACTGTAGAGCATCAAGTAATAGTCGAATTTGGCAGAGTCTGGCTGAATCCCTGATAACAATGATCTGTGATCCAATGGCTGTGAAAGTCAAGCTGACTTGGGTCAATCCTTAGCAGCCACTGACAAACACGTATTATACCATGAAAACACACTCTATAAATACACAAAGCAAATAGATATAGAGGACATGCATAAATTTACATAGATATGCTGGTATCTTCTTGTTTATATGGCCATATGGACACATTGTTTGTGTGTAGTTTGTGTCTTTCATTTTTGAGAGAAGATAACTTTAGTATGTGTCTTTCGTTGTACCTGTATTTATGTTATATCTTTCAGTTCATGCTTAAAAAGCACAATCTGCTCATTCACTTGATCAGCTATGAAACGGAAAATTTTGGTCATCTCTATTCTGGCTTTTCTTGGAAATAGTGATGGCATATTGTCTTAAGCAAATTCGATGAATATGAATGCAATTATCTATTGCTATAGCATGAAGCAATAAATATTACAATTCTTTTCATGTTCTCTGTGTAACATATTCATAGAAAATATGTAGTGAATTTGAAAAAGTAGCGAGATCATATGCAAAGAATAAGTTATTGATAGAGATTCTGTAGATAACATTCTTTATTTATCAACTTGTGTGTGTTATCTTTATGCAAAAGCCACTGCTAAGAAGTGTAGGGTGATTATTTATCAGCTATTGGAATTTAGATGCAATATTTTTTTGGTTGAAGGTTTTTTTATCAATGGAACAAGGTTCGCAGGGAAAGGAGATTAAGAATTGTAATCAAATGCTAGATTCTAAATATTTTAGGGCAATAGGCCTGAACCCCTAATCTTTAAGTACAAGCTTAGGGATAGTTTTCAGATTTCCCATCCCTAAAAACCATCTCATTTTTTCCACAGCAAGTGGAATTACAGTACACTGGGAATCCGTGCCAATAAAGTTGGAGAGTTGGTGTCACTGAATTACTTGGGACTGGCAACCTGCCAGTTCTGGACCCCCAACTTGCTGGCAGCCGTGTATTAGAGTAAACCTCCCAGCTTAACATTCAGACCAGGGTGGTTTCATGTTGGATTTAGCCCTAATTCTGGTTGAATCAAGCTGGACACGTCAAGTCGACAATTAATTTTATATTTTCTCCAACAGTGGAAACAAAACGAAAGTTCTGTTTTCTGGTGGGTAGCCTTAAAAGAGGGCTATACTCCTATCTTCTATTCTTTATCAGATCTGAAAATTAGAAGACCAAAGGAACTCCTAGGAAACTCAGATTAGTGAGATACTATTTGGTTTTTCACATTGGACGTTGGGAATGTAAGTTTTGGATCTTCTAGATCAAAAGTCCAACCTCCTAGAAAGTTTGAGGTTCATTTTCGTTATTTTTGCTTCCATTTCTGGTGATTTGTCACTTAGATTTCTTTGCTTTGATAAATTGGACAGATCTGGTACAAACCAACATTGAAATTGGGGATAAGGCAATATTTAATTTGTTTCTGGAGTTTAAAATGCTATAGTTGAATCTGATTCGGCCAAATATCACTAGATATATAGAGATATATATATAGTGATGTTTTTGTAGGTTTAATATCTTTGTTACATGCAGAAATCAACTCATCAAATATGCTAAGGGAAGTGTCCCTAAACGCACACTAGTTGTGCTTCAACTAGCCGCTCCACCCCGATCAGATCCCTTTGATGATCATTCCTTTGATCACCTTTGTACGCCCACACAATGTTGCTCATCCCCTCCCACATTCTTTTTTCTGTTTCTCCACACCAATTTTTGTACCCCCTCTTTAGAGATCAATTTTGTAACACTCTTTTCTGAAATACAAGTTAACATTATAATGAAAATGCTGAGAAATTCATAGGTAATAGTAATTTGTATTTTTGTTTTTTGAGAAAACCATTTTATCCTTTTAAATGCTGTTGTGAACCATATTGGTGCATTTTTCTCTTAGGGCTGCCTGATCAAGGACTTCAAGGGACCCAAGTAATAGTCATGAAATCCATGGATGTGGCCATGAGATGGAAATTTCTCTTTTCTTTTGAGTAATAATCTTTATAAGGATGCAAACTAATGTTTTAAAACCGGAGCTAGGTTTAGACTCAGGCAAGACCCAGGCCAAGTCGGCTTG